CTCTATCCCAGAGGGACTGTGGTTGCACACAATAATTCCTCCATATCAAACAAACACTTTTACTTACACCATCTCAATCCTGCGGTCCATTGTCTTATGGTACATTGTTAGAATAACATTTTTAAAGTCATGGTGGCTGGGAAGGCCTTTTATGCTCCACATGATTGTCTTCAACAGGTAGCCTTCATACAGTGTATAATAGTTATTGCACAATGATAAACATTTATACACAAGGTCACTGCCAGCAAGACCAGAACAATGTGATTTGCATATTGATAAACAAAGAGACAATCCTTTCACTAAAAATATAACAGTCCAATCACAGACACAGGTGAAGACACCTGGAGTAAGCAGTGGATTGTACCAGCCCATATTTCTACCTGGTAATTAATGAAATTTTGCAGCCACAGTCTTGTCAAACAATCAAAGTGTCTTTGTCATGCAGGCAATTTTATGTCAATAATTCCTAACCCAAACAGTCGTATTGATGAAGGCTGTTGCCTCCTTACGCAATGTTTAGTGGTTCGTTTTTTTTCAGAGCTCGCTCATGCTACAAAGACCACATTTCATCGCTTTTTAATTTGCTATGTCATTAAAATATGACTATATGGATGTAGATCCGCCCTAGTGCACAAATGTTTCAGTCATCTTCCAGTTCACTGTAAGACTAGTAATAGATTATTACTAGTCTTCCTGTCTGTGGTTCGCACTAGTCATAAATTCGAGTATACACTTCCGGCGCACTGAAAATATAGTTAAATCATTATAATGTAAAGGAAAAGTAAACAATACACAGGTGACCAGTTTTTACTAATTCAGAGACGTGTTATTTTTTTTTCATACCTTGGAATGCCTGCAGAAATAGCACTATAACTAAGTTTCCCCAGTCTCTCATGGCAACTACTCCCATGGCTGCTTTCAGGCATCTTAAGGCAGAGTCAAAAGTGACGTAGCACCAAGAAACTTGAATCAAGTCTACACTACCCTTTACTCAATACCATTGTCATCTACTTGTAGTTTGTTATAATCAATCTCTGAGTCATGACTCCATGATTTGAACTGACACCAGATAGCGGTTAACCCACCTTTAAGCATTGAAGTCACACCAGTATCCCGTTCATGACATATCCCACAATGGCGCCAAGATGTGTATCAACAACTGACATCAATGCACTGACCAATTCCAGGTAAAACTGTTTCATTTATTTATTGCACATTATATTCAATATGGGCCACATTTATTTCACTATATGTTTACCATCCCAGCGGGTTTAGTTTCACTGTGTTCCCACATATGTTTTGTACACATACATGTTGTTCATTATCGTAAGCTAAAGAACCTCATGGAATTAAACTGTTTAACTTTAACTCATTTCTTGAGCGCGTAACATGTTCTATTGTGTAATCATTTAGTGATTTCATTTTATAGTTGTGTTGTGTGTTTTCTTGCATTCTTATGTTCTACCTATACATTTAAACATTTTCTTCTATGCTATAGATAAAGAGCCATTGCTTGAAACGTCTAGCTATTTTTAATAGTTACTTAGGACAACGATCACCAAATATTATCTATCTACTATATTATCGTGAGCTAATTTGCTGACAATACAAGATTTAATAGTTATAACATTTTAATTTTTGTTGATAGCTAAATGTGCTAGATTAGGACCCAATTCATAGATACAAAGTTAACACAGAATGTACTGTAAGTGCATGAATTATTCACAGGGTTTTAATTTCACTATTTTTTCTGATAAGTGAAATGAAATAAATTTATTTCAGATGAACACGTAAAACAATAATATTAACTTACTGTACAGATACAGATTTGTTGTGAATCAGAAAGAAGTTTACTGCTTTATCAAAGCCACAACTTAAAATTATTTCAATGCCATATCAGCAATAAATGCTTCTGTCACTATTTTAGTTTTTGTTTACTTACTTGTGAGTTCAAGTTGAACATCACAGAAAAACATATTTGCTTAGTGGAAGGTGACAAAAGGTGAAAATGGAGGTGAAAAGGTCACCAGAATTAATTTAAAACAATCCTGATATTTGATATCAATAGGGACACATGAGAGTAACAGTGACTTGCAAAAAATTTAATCGTGTTCTTAAATTCTGTAAACTTTTCATGATGAAAATTTGACATTTTACTTTGTTTGTGTATGAGAGCACCTCAAAACTACTGTAAAGTACTTTTTAGTAGTAGTTTTTCACTAAAAATTTATGTTTAGTATTTCAGAACCTCATTTGCATGTTTTTGAGTGAATTTAAATTCAAAATGGCATCGTCTCAAGTTTGCTGCTTTGGAGAAATCACAGTCAATGTTTCTGGTACATATACTTTTTATTTCCGCTTAGTCTTTAATTTGTTTAATGAAAACTTTTTTCCAGCAAAATATCAAGATTCCTTCCAAATTTCTCCACATCCTTCTTCATTTGAACCCATATTTTTTCATGCCCAAACAGGGGTCGAAATACTCTGGTGCACACTGCATTAGGCACATAGATTATCAGCTAGTGCAAGTAAACTCAAAATATAATGTGCACGCTGTGCATGTAGAAATTAACACAACATTTTCTCATTATATTCACTAAGCCTAAATTAAGTTAAACCAATATTGTAAGACAACTCAAAAAAAAGCAAATTCTTTCCTGATTGCATCAATCGAGAACCCGTAAATTTTATTAAAACTTTAAAACAACAAGTTCGTGGAGGTAAATTTCAACTGGACATGCACACTGTGCATGCAGGGAAAACATTCTAATTCAATCTCTGCCAAATGTTCATGCAAAAGTTTGCATATTGTAACCCGTTGAATGCAATAATTTTGCTCAACAAAATTTTGCCAGTTTTTTTTTTTTTAAATTGTTTTGATAATTTTAGTCCGAACAGATATATGGAGAAATGACTAAAAAATTATGTGGGTTAAAGTGTCTATGTGAATGGTGACAAAAGTTGATCGCTCAAAGAGTCAATGTATTTTCCACAATATTTTGGTTAATTTTGGACCAAAAGGACATAATTTCCCAATGACGACAGGTGTGTATCAAAATCTTTAAAAAACCTGGCTACAATTGTACGGAAGTTTATTTTAGCATTTAGTTGAATAACTTTATAACACATTATAATTCAAGACATTGAAACATTTTCTAACTTTTAGGGAAAGCGCAACAAAAAAATATTTAACTGTTGCCTCATACATGTATAGATATTGCTCTCGGAGTTATTCTGGATCGGTTTTATCGGTTGTCATGGGGAACTTGATCGAAAGATGAATTTTCTCATACATCAATACAGTCACCAAGGAAACCAATAGGGATAATAATCCCATTACGTACACTGATTTGTCACATTATAGCATCTTTCCAAAATGCAATTAATTTTAATTTCTAGTGATGGAAGAGGGAGATTTTGTGCGATAATGGTATGGAGGGGAAGGGGCCGATAAGGACATGGAGACCAAGCTGAAAGATGCATGTCCTGATATTAAAATTACTTATAAAACAGCACTGTTTCAGACTGTCAATACCACGACGGGGTAGCTCCAGAAACAAATTACGTTTTGGGTCGTTGGATAGCTCTGCAATCATCACAGGTGTTTTTATTCTATTGTACAAAATGCCGATACACTCTTTTAAAACACATGAAACCGAATAATTACAGACAATGGTTTATTGTGTCAATTAAATTAAGGTGATCATTGCATGTATACAAAAGTTAACTCAATAACTCCAATATTGTCAAACTACGCCAATAATAGTCAGGCATTGTGGTCAATTTCCAAGTGACAGTTTTTTTCACCATGATGAATTCAACTCTTCGATCATACTCACAGCAACAACCAGTGGAGCATACAGTAAATACTAACTGCCTATTTCTTTAATCTGAATTGATGCACCCATAACTCAGTGAACAAAATAATTTATAGCTTGCTTGCACAGAAAACCTGCATGTATCTTTCGCAATGGCACCTGGGGGTTTATTAAAAGACTGACTCAGTAGTATTCACACAGTGTCTTCATAACACAATGGCACATGTGGTGTAATTTGCTGGGAGGCCCAATAAAAAAAAATACCTGACACTAAAGAAAAGGAGAAAATAAGTTGATATTTATATCTACTATAGGCCTAATAAATGCATGCAAGTATTTCTTGCATGTTTTCAAGAGTATAGACATGAGATAACTCTACACCATCCTGAATCTGGTAAACAAAAACTTGACAGTCATCATTTCTCAATGACATCTATTTATTTATATAAAGAGGATAACTAGTGAGTAAATTCTTTCACTCCAGAGTACCGGTAGTTCAAAGTTCACATGTTGTATGCAAGGACAGGACTTTGACTCGATTTACTAGTGTTGGTAAAATTAATAACTGTGAAAAGTAAGCAAGGAAGATCAAAGATTTTCTATAAACATGTGATTTTACTAAATCATCTTCTGATTTTGAGGAAACAAAATCACAATTTACTACTGACAGAGACAGCAGAGAAGGTGCTGACCAAATGCAGATGGCTAATACTATAAACACCATATAGTGACATAATACCCTTCATTGCTTATTATACACATGGAGTGTACTGTTAGTAGAGATAACAGAGAGAAACACACAGGAAAATCCTTCACAAGAATCACTTACTTACTCATTAACTAGGGCAAATCTCTCAGCAAAAGTCATACCGGTACTTGTTAAGTACTTTTTTCTTGGAATTTATGTTTTCTATTTTCAATGAAAAAATGAATCATTGAAAATAAAATCCAGCTAAAATACTTATATTTGCATTCAAGTCACCAAAAATCAGGGGAAATAAACTTCATACAAAACGGCAAAAAATCTTTTCAGCGAAAAATAATTCTAGCTAAGTTATTTACAGTATAAGGACATGTGTGAAACACATTCAGCCTATAGAGGGCGCCCTCATCACTACACCAATTCAATGAAACACAAGAAAGCCATGAAGTGAATGCATAACTAGTTCAGAATTGACTTACTCATCCAAGGATTGCGTACTCTCATCTGTTATATCTTCTCTCAATATCGGCAAGTCAGACTTACTGAAAACAATAAAAATAGCAAAGAATATTAGTCAACAAAGTACAAGATTCATGAAAAATACGACATGAAATTATTTTTTTTTTTTTTGAAATTTATTTTCACTATTTTCGATTCAGTGAAAATAAAATCCAGCGAATATACATTTTCATATAATTTACATCAAACTTGTCAAAAAAACAGTGAAAATAAATTCCATATAAATCACCCAAAAAGTCTTTTCTGTGAAAATTAATTATTTTACAGTACATATATAGTGTATGCTGGTAAGTTAAACCCTAGCATAGCAGCCAACCAACAAATCTAAACAATTTGTCCTTTATTAACAGTTCAATAATTAATTTAGGAATAAAAATATACCAACAATTTTGTTGTTTAAGAGACAATGCATCATCAGGTATTTGAAAATAAATGGGGAATAAATAAAAATAAACTATGAGCAGATGGTTTTTATAAAAAGATTGTCACCAACTCCAGTTTGACTCTAACATGACAGAATCACAACATGTGTTGCATTAACATTTTTTGAAAAGCTTGTTGTCTCATGGTAATCTTGTATAGTCCATGAGTAGTTACTCTGAAGTCATACAAACAGCTTGATTACAAATAAATAAATGCTTATATTTTTCAATTTGTGTATAATAAAAAAAAAAAACATCACAAATGTGTATGATTCTACTCTCAATTTTGCAATGACAGGTATGATGAGCTTTACCTTTACCTTTACAAAATAAGAAAAGCTCAAAATCACCACAATTGGCGATGTAATGTTCAACTAACAAGCCATGTCTACAATGCATGTTGAAATTGTTGACAGTGACTGTGACTGTGGACACTGAGGTCAGAGGAAATTCACTGTGCACAGCTGACTGGGGAAAAATATACAATTGACACTGACTGTGAACACTGAGGTCAGAGGAAATCTACTTTGCACAACTAACTGTGGAAAAATATACAGATGACAGTGGTTGTGGACACTGAAGTCAGAGGAAATCCACTGTGCACAGCTGACTGGAGAAATATATACAGTTGACAGTGACTGTGGACACTGAGGTCAGAGGAAATTCACTGTGCACAGCTGACTGGGGAAAACATACATTGTACAGTTGACAGTGACTGTGGACACTGAGGTAAGAGGACATCCACTGTGCACAGCTGACTGGAGAAATATATACAGTTGACAGTGACTGTGGAAATTGAAGCCAGAGGAAAATCATTGTGCACAGCTGACTGGAGAAAAATATACAGTTGACAGTGACTGTGGACACTGAGGTCAGAGGAAATTCACTGTGCACAGCTGACTGGGGAAAACATACATTGTACAGTTGACAGTGACTGTGGACACTGAGGTAAGAGGAAATCCATTGTGCACAGCTGACTGGAGAAATATATACAGTTGACAGTGACTGTGGACATTGAAGCCAGAGGAAATCCTCTGTGTAAAGCTGACTGGGGAGGAAATATACAGTTGACAGTGACTGTGGACACTGAGGTCAGAGGAAATTCACTGTGCACATCTGACTGAGAGGGGAGGGGGATACAGCTGACAGTAACTGTGGACACTGGGATCAGAGAAAATCTGGCCACTTTTCACAGCTGCATGACTGGGGTGAATATACAGTCTCATGCTTATATTAGTTACAATGTACCACTCTGTTAGACGAGAACTTACTTCATGGTTATCATTTCCCCTTTTTCAAATAAATAATTACTAATTCTTTTTAATAAACCTATAAAGCAACCAGCTAAATGGCATGCAATCATTTCTATGTTTTACCATACATTTGCAACTTGTCAGAATACTAAGAACAATACAATATGTGATATCAGAGGGGTTGTCATGTGATATACATGTATGTACCTTTTAGGTATTACCGGGTATACTACAATAACTATATAAGATTCAGTACATCATATTTGCAGGGCAACCCAAACATCATGAAGTAACAATCACCTAGTCATTTGTCAACAACTTGTGCCACTCACAAGGCAATGCGTCATCACGGTTTGACATTATGTGACGTCAGACGTCAAATTTTGCACTAAACGCCACTGTACATACACGCATGCATTATGTATATAATGAAAAACTATTATCACCCTGCAAACTTACTTAATTATCTGACAATTTCAGAAAAGTTTTATGTTAATGATGAAACATGTACATGACTTTTTCATTTCATGACTATGAGCAACATTTAGAGATAAATAGAAATAATCTCACCATCAAAACCAGTTTGAAAATGCTAGTTTTAATTATGTTTCATGACATTTTGTACTCATGACACAGATAATCATCAATTAAGCTCAAATTGCTTCAAAAATGCCAGTTTTGCTTATGTTTCATGACATTTTAGACTCTTTTTAACCCATTTTTTTTTTCCTTTGGTATTCTGATGGCATGAAGCCATTATAATGAAAATAAGATGAGCATGACAGAAAATCATAAATTAAGCTCAAATCGCTTCAAAATACTGTCAATCACTTTTAAATTAATTTCATGAAATACCCATTTGTGTTAATTTGTACAAGTGCAGAAAATTAAGTTACAGTAACAAAAAATAATATAAATTTACAGATTTTGAATGCAAATAACAATAAAACAATATATTTTCATCATGTACATCTAATAAAGAAATAAAGTGTAACAAATTGTGGTTTGATGAAAACAGTTTCAGGGCAAACACAAACAAACAAACACAAGTATTACTGGCACATGGCTTGTAAATTTGTGATGTTTGAATTAGCCTTCATGGTAGACAAACAACAGCATACCGATATGTATACACATTATAGATACTAGATTAGGATAGATATAATGTTATACCACCATATTCAGCAGCTTGAGGCTTTTCTTACTGCAGCTAAATAATCTTCATAATGACTCATTAGACAACTACTTTTCTAAATACTGTGTGAAAAAAAAATCGCTTTTCTACTTTTCTGAAGAAAAA